GTCCTGTCCCGCTGATGCAGTCTTAATGGTTTTTGGCTTCTTTTACCTGCATTTCCATTTTGTTTCAACTTCTGTCATCTTTATGCTTTTCCTTTGCTTCATTCTGTCTTCTTCTTGTTGTCCTGTCTCAGCTATAGCTCCGTCTGTAAGCGATATCATCATTCAGCTGGATGAGCCCGACTGTAACCGGCACAGACGCTGCAAGAATGGGCGAGGAAATATGGCAATGTCCCTTCACCGATGATGTGCCACTTGGAGTGAGTGATGGTAAACATGAGCTGGCATTTTTAAAAAAAATTTTTATTTACATACAGAAATGCACACGCACACACAAACAAATGGACAAACATGATTCTCCTATAGATTTTATTTTTCCGCCTGGTCTGTTTTACTTAAAATAAAGTATCTTTCTCTGCTCTGTGCTACTCTTAATGAGGTGGGGAAAAAACGAACACATTGATCCAGAAGGTGACATGGTGTTTGTTATACAGGTATAATGGGTAATTTTTATAATGAGGACTTTCTTACACTTAGAAGAAATATTTCACAGAGTGGCTATTTCTAGCCCTAACCTATAAGAATTTATATGGATTTAAAAATATATACCTCTGTTTTTTTTTACTTTGTTGTGTTCTGTACATTGATAAAAGCTACACATCACATTCACCTGTGTCTTTGTCACCTAGTTTGCTTGTGTGCGCGTGCTTGTTTGCTGTTCCTTTCCATGAGTTGGAGAAGTCCAGGCCTGTGGTCGACGCCTTGTTCCTGTGAGTTGTTGTTGTTTTTGCACTGTTGCTCTGTTTAGACTTTGTTCTAAAGAATTTCTTTTCTGCATGTTTCTAATCAAATTATAGCATTTTGAGAATTTTGTTTTTTGAGAAATATTTTCATGAAAAGTTTTGAAACGTTTTTCCAAAACCCTATCTTTTCTGATTGTTCTTTGTGATATTTTGAAATTGAATTTTTTATTGAAGTTTTTAGCACAAAATATTCACTTGGCAGCATGTTTTGCAGCATTAACTTGCATTCTGAGGCATTTCTAGTTCTTGTTATTTTTTTGCATTCCTTTTTATTTGTTTTTTTGTAATTTTTCGGCAAAACCCTAATTTTTGGTCAGATATTTTGATATATTTTCAAAGTTTTATCTTTTCTGCATGTAAATTTTTTTTTTACATTTTTTAAAAACACTATTTTGATGAGAAATCAAAATAGTGTTTTTAAAAAATGTAAAAAAAAATTAAGAAAGCTCTATTTTTTCGAAAATTAAAAAAAATTAAATATTTCACATCAAATTAGAGCATTTAGAGAACATTTTTACAAATTTCCTTTTACAACATTTTCTATCAAAATGTAAACTTTTCGTGTTATTTTTGGTCAAAAACATAAACAAAATTGATGAAAATTGTTGTAAAATTGTATCTTTTCATCTATGTTTCTCATGAAATCATTTTTTTTTTACAAAATTTTCTGTCAAAATGTAAATGTTTTGTGTCATCGTTAGCCAAAAACTAGAAGATTTTGACAGAAATTTTTGTAGAATTATTTTCATAAATTTTGATCTTTTCCTGCATGTTTCTCATCAAATGAGTGCAATTAGAGAACATTTCTGAAATGTTTTTAATTATTTTTTTTATCAAAAGAGATTCGAGATTTTTTCTTATTGGTATAGTATTTTACTGTGATCAAAATAATTTTTTGAGAAACTTTTTTTTCGGAGATTTGTTCAGGAACTTATTGGTATAGTATTTTACTGTGATCAAACGTTGGCGTACCAAAAAAGTCTATATCTATGTCGATTAAGTGGGTCTCCCGGGGTTGAGACCCGGTCCGAAGACCCGTCGACCAGGTTTCGACCAAATGTCGACCAAGTGGGTCTCCCGGGGATGAGACCCGGTCCGAAGACCCGTCGACCAAGTTTCGACCAAATGTCGACCAAGTGGGTCTCCCGGGG